CAGAACTCTAACATTCCACACACAATATCTTCTTTGTATAGGTCTCTCTCTAGCTTTCTAGCACACATAAGTACCCTTTCCATCCCTCTCCCACAACATATACAATATATATTTCTCTAGGTTTCTCTCACGCGCACAAACACACATATACTCTCTCTACCTAGATATTTTTGATCCACACACAACCATCTCTACACCGCTCTCTCTCTCACACACGATATCTCTCTACCTCTGTCTACTTGGTCGATCTCCATATCCCTTTCTTGCACACCTGCACACATAATCAATCTATCACTCATACACAGACACAGACACAAACACCCAGATGCAAAGGTCGGGGGTCATCCTTCTTTTTCAAAAAAATACACATACACAAAAACCCTCTCACTCTATCACTAAGTGTAGTTCTCACACACAAACCCTCTCGCCCTCCATGTCGAGCTCTCTCTCTCTCCCTGGACAAATGCATCATCTCTCTCGATCGTTCTCCCCCTCACACACGCACGCATAGACACATTATCTATCTAGACCACTCTCAATCTCTCTCTCCCTCTCTAGATATACTTATCACCCTCTCCTCCCAGCGCTCGCTCACTCAATATCTCTCTAGAAAATACCTCTTTTGGCCCGCATATAGGCCCACACTCACTCGACCTCGCTTTGTCTCTATGCCTCGCTCGACCTCGCTCTCTCTCTCTCTCTCTCACACACACACACACAAATGCTACCTCTCTCTATTTAGGTCTCGATCGACACTTTGTACATCTCTCATCCACACACATCATCTCACTATTAGGTCCCCTCTCACGCACCACTATTTAGATATATCTCTCCCCCACCACACACAAACGCATTCTCCAACTCTAACCACCACTCACAATACCACTCTAGACCCCCTCTCTCGCATACATGTACACGCTCCCACCCCCTCTGTCTCTAGGTCATGATCTCTCGCTCTCGCTCCCTCTCCCTCTCTCGCGCGCTCTTTCTCACCCTGCCCGTCGCTCTCTTGATTGGGGTTTTTTCCATGAGTTGGTTTTGTTCTTGTGGTTGATGTTGATTGGGAAAAAATAGTAATAAACACTTTTTGGACAAGTCAAGCTCATGAAAATGCAATACATCTGAATGTTGCCATGGAAGTGCACAAATGCTAGCAATTAGAAGTAAACTAGTTAATTGCCCGTGCGTTGCAAGAAGGGCATACTTATTCTAGTGTTCAACATTAATCGTGTCCGACATATACCTTACACCCACCATATTCTAATGGAGGAAGTGACTTGATTTGATTGAGTTAATGCAAAAGATTTGATTTCATTGCCAGTGTCCGACATACAACTAGAATGGCTTAATTTGATTTAATTTGATTGAGTTAATGCAATTACCTTACACCCACCAATGAGGCCGCTGCAAAAGGTTTCATTTGATTGAGTTTCATGACGTGAGCCAGGGAGGGGGGCTTCACCAACGGGTGTACGACCACAAACTCTCCTTTAATAGTGATATATAGAGGAGTAACTTTGTGCATTTTAGCAGGTCAATGGGTTTAGGATGAGAATTTGTCACTTATGATTTTTTGGATGAAAACACATTTTACATATTTTCCTTTCTTTTATTAGGTTGCAAGCTATCGTATGTTTTTTGTGAGAACTCAAGGTCATGAAAATACAATACACCTGAGTGTTGCCATGGAAGTGTACAAATCCCGGCAAGGACTAACTTGTTAATTGCCTGTGTATAATGGGGCATACATATTATACTAGTTTAACAACAATCATGTCCGACGTATACTCTCTTCATTCATTTAACCAATAACGTGGGTGACTGCGGCGGGAGCAAAAATTATACTCCCTTCGTTCGGAATTACTTGTCACAGAAATGAACGTATCTAGACGTATTTTAGTTTTAGATACATCCATTTCCAAGACAAGTAATTCCGAACGGAGCGAGTACCATTGAATTTTTATTCAAAAGAAGTTTTCTATGGTTTAATGGTATAATTTTTGTTCATGCCGCAGTTTTTCACGTTGGTTAAATTTATGGTCAAACTTAAATATTGAAAAGCGCGGATGCACTACATTATGGAATGGAGGGAGTACTTTACAGCCACCATATTCTAGTGAAGGGACTGATTTGACTTGATTGCGTTAACGCAAAAGATTTGATTTGATTGCCCGTGTTCGACATATAGTTAGAATGGTTTTATTGAGCTAATGCAATTAACTTACACGCATCAATGGATGCGCTGCAACATATTTGGTACGATTTCATTTGATTGCCTAGTGAAAATAGAGAAAAATTCGGATGCTACTAGGGCACGGATGATCCCATGCCATGAAAGCACATAGGCCGTCGGATCTTAGATCTAACGATTATCACGAAAGCCCCTGGATCTACGCGCAATTACATAACCCTGAAAGAAGTTTTTTTTTAAGTTGTCGAAACTTCCATCATGACAGTTGGATCAGATCCAACGGCCCGGGTGCTGGAGCATCGGATCGGAGCTCCTGGAGCACCTCATATTCTCCCGAGAAAATAAGGTGACCACCAGGCAGGCATGATTTATGTACAGTAAAAACAGACAAGAAATGTATTTTAAAGTGGTTTTGAAATGTATATTTTCAAACTAGGCAAGACAGGATACAAGGGAGAGCTCTCCCACCAATGGCAAGGACAAGCGCCCCTTGATGTCAGTAACCGTACGCCTTAATTAATCAGCTACTGCTATGGGATGAAACAAAGTAGGGAAAGGAACAGAGCACAAAGATTCTCCGGCTCAGCGCCCGACAAATTCACCATGTCCAACGCCAGAGATGCACGAGCAGGGTGTAAAAGTAAAAGTAAAGTAAAAGTAAAAGAAGAGAATATCATTATGTTAGAGGGACGCTGCCGATTAGCCGAGACTGCTCACGGTGTGGAGTAACATAAAGTAGTAACTTGCCGATGTTACTAATCTATATTACTACCTTCATACTGGGTAATAACATGTGAGTGATGTCATGAAAGAGTTTATTTATTAGGCTATAGACTCATGATGCTTTAAAATGTGTGATGTTACAGTAACTATCTAAGTTACTCCCTCCGTTATTAACTTCTACTCCCTCCGTTCCTAAATATTTGTTTTTCTAGACATTTCAAATGACTACTACATACGGATATATATAGACATATTTTAAAGTGTAGATTCACTTATTTTGCTCCGTATGTAGTCACTTGTTAAAATGCCTAGAAAGATAAGTATTCAGGAACGGAGGGAGTACAATATTAAAACTATATAGTATGAAAATACGTTTTATGGTGTATCTGATAATACTGATTTCATATTGTGAATATTTATATTTTTTAATATAAAGTTAGTCAAACTCTACAAAGCTTGACCAAATCTTATATGCGGACCAAAAAGAAACGGAGGGAGTACTACATAAACCCATCTCTTCTTATTAATTACCTGCCACATAAGCAAACTTGTATTGAAATGTGTGATGTTACTAGTTAAGTTACTCTTATTATGGTTAGTCTCAGACTAGTCACAATCAGGAGTAACTTAGACTAGTAACATCACATTTTACTAGACTATATTACTACCTCTACAGTGGGTAGTAACATATGTGTGTTGTCATGTTATGGTTCATTTATTAGCCTATAGACTCATTTATTAGCCTATAGACTCATATTGTCTTAATATGTGTGATGTTACAGTAACTAGTTAAGTTACTACCATCATCTCTCATCATTAAATATGTGCCACATAAACAAAATTATCTTGAAAAATAAGATGTTACTAGTGATGTTAGGCTAGTCATGGTGGGGAGTAACATATACTAGTGTCATGCATATGACATTAGTCTATGTTACTATCTTCATAGTGGGAAGTAACATAGAAGTAGTGTCATAGTTGGATGTATTTATTAGCTTGTAGACCCATCTTGCCTTGGAAAGTGTTATGTGATGATAACATGTTATGTTACTCTAAACACCTCTCTCCTTATTAACTACATGCCACATAGACAAATTTATCTTGAGGTGCGTTATGTTACTAGTTAAGTTACTCTCACTATAACCAGCCTTAGACTAGCCACAATGGAGAGTAACATACACTAGTATACGTGTACGTTACTAGTGTATGTTACTCTCCATTGTGGCTAGTTTAATGGGTAGTAACATAAGTGTGGTAACATGCATAGCTTCATTTACTAGGTTATAGACTCATGTTGCATTGGAATATGTGATGTTACAGTAACTAGCTAAGTTACTACTACTACCTCTCTCCTTATTAACTCATTGCCACATAAGCAAATTTGCTGAGTTGGACTCAATGTTACTGCTGAAATTACTCCCACTGTAGCTAGTCTTAGTCCCATTATGCCCAGCCTCAATGATGCGATGCTCCTATACTACTTGTGGCGCAAAGCGCCTCGGAATAATCAGGAAAAACAACTTTCCCCTTTCCCCTCCCTCGACACTCCCACTGATGGGCTGTGACGAGAGTGCGTGAGTGCGAGCGAGGCAGCGAGCGGCCCCCCTCCCTCCCTCCCGTGCTCTCTGCCTACCAACCCTGAAAAGCAAGCACTCACGGGCGGGGCCTGGCCGCCGCCGCCACCACCACCCCACCTCGGCGGCCCGGGCCGAGCGCCACCCCGCCCCAAATGCATCCCGCCTTCCGCCGCTGCCTTCTCCTCTCCCTCGGCCTCATCTCGGCCTCCCTCCTCGCGCCTCGGGCGGGCGCTGGAGATGCCGCGGCAATGCAGGCGCTGCGCCGGGGGCTGGCGCCGCCGGACTGGGCCGCCGCGCCGGCGGACCACTGCGCCTGGCGCGGCGTCACGTGCGGCGGCGCCCGCGAGGTCACCGCGGTCGAGCTGCCCCGCCGGGGCCTCCGCGGCGACTTCTCGGCCGCCGCCGGGCTCCGCGCGCTGGCGCGGCTCGATCTCTCCTTCAACGCGCTCTCCGGGGCCGTCCCCGCGGCGCTCGGCGCGCTCGCCCGCCTCGAGCTCCTCGACCTCTCCATGAACAGGCTCTCCGGCCCCATCCCGCCCGCCCTCGGCCTCGCCGCCGGCCTCAAGTTCCTGAACCTCTCCAACAACGCCCTCTCCGGCTCCATCCCCGACGAGCTCAGGGGCCTCAAGGAGCTCCAGGAAGTGCAGATTTCGGCCAACAACCTCACCGGCGCCATCCCCGGCTGGCTCGCCGGCCTCCCCGGCCTCCGCGTGCTCTCCGCTTACGAGAACGCGCTCTCGGGGCCGATCCCGCCCGGGCTCGGGCTCTCGTCCAATCTCCAGGTGCTCAACCTCCACTCCAACGGCCTCGAGGGGAGCATACCGAGCAGCCTCTTCGACCTTGGCAATCTGCAGGTTCTGATCCTCACCGTGAATAGGCTCAACGGCACCATCCCGGATTCAATCGGCCGGTGCCTCGGCCTATCCAACGTGCGCATCGGCAACAATCGCCTCGCGGGCGCCATCCCGGCATCCATTGGCGACGCCACCAGCCTGACCTACTTTGAGGCCGACAGCAACCAGCTGTCCGGCAGCATCCCCGCTCAGTTTGCACGCTGCGCCAACCTGACGCTGCTGAATTTGGCCTACAACCGCCTTGTCGGCGAGGTGCCGGACATGCTTGGGGAGCTGAGAAACCTGCAAGAGCTCATCATCTCCGGCAATGGCCTCGGTGGCGAGTACCCGAGGTCCATTCTGCGGTGCCGGAACTTGAGCAAGCTGGACTTGAGCTACAACGCTTTCCGCGGCGGCTTGCCAGACACCATCTGCAACGGATCCAGGCTGCAGTTTCTTGTGCTCGATCATAACGAGTTCTCGGGCAGCATCCCGCACGGTATCGGTGGCTGCAGCCGGCTTCTCGAGCTGCAGCTTGCCAACAACAACCTGAGTGGTGAGATACCAGCCGAAATGGGCAAGATCAAGAGCTTACAGATTGCGCTGAACCTCAGCTTCAATCACCTTTCAGGGCCGCTGCCCCGTGAGCTTGGGCGGCTCGATAAGCTCGTGGCGCTGGATTTATCTAGCAATGAGATATCTGGTGAGATCCCTGCTGACATGAGAGGGATGCTGAGCTTGATAGTAGTCAACCTGTCAAACAACCGGCTCCGTGGTGCCATACCGGTGTTCGGGCCGTTTCAGAAGAGTGCAGGGTCCAGTTTCTCCGGCAATGCCAAGCTGTGCGGCGACCCGCTGGATGTGGACTGTGGACCGATTTATGGCTCCAATTATGGATCGGACCACAGGAAGATATCTTACAGGGTGGCCCTGGCAGTTGCTGGGTCCTGCGTGCTCATCTTCTCAGTGGTATCATTGGTGGTCACGTTGTTCATGTGGCGTGAGAGGCAGGAGAAGGAGGCCGACGCAAAGAAGGCCGAGGCAGGGGAGGCGGTCGTCGTCGAAGCGAGGCATGTCATGGCTTCAAGTGTGTTCATTGAGAGCTTGCAGCAGGCCATTGATTTCCAGACCTGTGTCCAGGCGACGTTCAAGGACGCCAGTGCACTGAGGAGCGGCACGTTCAGCACGACCTACAAGGCTGTCATGCCATCAGGCATGGTGGTGTGTGTGAAGAAGCTGAAGTCGGTCGACCGCGCGGTCGTCCACCACCAGGCCAAGATGATCCGGGAGCTCGAGCGACTCGCGCACATAAACCATCCCAACCTTGTGCGTCCCATTGGGTATGTCATCTACGAGGATGTTGCGTTGCTGCTGCAGTATGACATGCCGAATGGAACATTGCTTCAGCTGCTGCACGGTTCAAACAACTGTGATGGTGACCAAGAGAAGCCTGACTGGCCAAAGCTGTTGTCAATCGCGATTGGCGTCGCCGAAGGGCTGGCCTTCCTCCACCAGATTGCCACCATCCACCTCGATATTTCTTCGGGTAATGTCTTCCTTGACTCGCACTACAACGCGCTTCTTGGCGAAGTTGAGATCTCCAAGCTGCTGGACCCTTCAAAGGGCACTGCCAGCATCAGCGCGGTAGCTGGCACATTTGGTTATATACCTCCAGGTCTGAACTTTTCTCCCAAAGGAATCTGCTGGATACACAAGAACTAACTTACTATCCATAAACATAACACAAATTGCACTTGATTTCTTGCAGAGTATGCCTACTCAATGCAGGTTACTGTACCAGGAAATGTGTACAGCTTCGGGGTACTGCTGTTGGAGATCCTGACGTCCAAGATGCCGGTGGACGAGGAGTTTGGCGAGGGTGTGGACCTTGTCAAGTGGGTGCACTCTGCGCCGGAGAGGGGGGAGACGCCGGAGCAGATCATGGACCCGAGGCTGAGCACCGTGTCGTTTGCGTGGCGGAGGCAGATGCTCGCCGTGCTCAAGGTCGCGATGCTATGCACGGAGCACGCCCCGGCGAAGCGGCCCAAGATGAAGAAGGCTGTAGAGATGCTGCAGGAGGCCAAGAACAGCTGACCGCTCACTGCATCCTCTTGCTGAATGCTAAGATTGCTCCTACGGAGACGAAATGACAAGCATAAAGAACATTGCACGCCGCGAATCTGCAGTAATTATTCGGCCGGGTATGAATCCAATGGCTATTTTCCTCTTTGTATATAGTCTTGATTTTTTTTCTCAAGCTGCCGGTAGCATACATTGCCAGTATCAAAGAACCCTAAACCCCATTGTTCGGCATTACTACTTGCTGATGGCAACGTGAGAATGTTTGGTCCATTTCCGGTTGGATGCTCTGCTAGAAAAATTGTCTAATTTTCTAAGCTTAGTCAAGCAACATATGCAACTAAACTAAAAATAACCAGGCAAGAGCAAGTCTAGCATAGTATATATCGGCGGCCTCCATAATGCTTGCATAATGTTTTTTTGAGTTTTTTTCTGGGACAGTAATGTTTTGGAGTTTGTCATTGGCTTGACATGATCTGTTTCTGCCCCATCTCATCAACAACAATTGAAGCTTCGGGCCTCCTTTGGTTTAGAGGAATGTTGTAGGAATTTCATAGGATAGAATTTTTATAGGAAAAATTCCTTTGGAAAATGTTTAAATTAAGCCGGATGAAAACTCTCTCCCGTAAGCCGCTCTCCCTGCGCATCACGTGTCGCTGTGGCCCCGCCCACCTTATCTTCTCCCACGAAGCATATCCTCCACCTGATTCTTTTCCCTTTTCTTCTCTCGTTCGTCAAGCTGCAGAGGAAAAGCAAGCAGCAGCACAGAAGCGGAGGAGGTAACGCCGTTGGCCGTTGCCTGATTCATCCTCGCGCCGCCGGGGCTGCAATAGAGCTCCGCCGTGGCTGCATTGAAACGCCACCGGAGCTGCATCGCATCATCCTCGCGCTACATGGCAGCTTCAGTCGTCGTCGTCGTCATGCTTTTTGTCGCAGCTTTCGCCATGGCCGCCGCGTGCTGCGTCGCTGCATCAGCCGTCATCGCCGGCGCTGCAATGAGTGCTCCCGGGGCTGCAATGGAGGGACGTCGGCGCTCCGCCGCGACTGCAATGGAGCACCGTCGGGGTGTTGGAGCTTTGTCCCAGTTGCAATGGAGCTTCGCCGCGGCTGCAATGGAGCACTGTCGGGGACGTTGGAGCTTCGCCGCGGTTGCAATGGAGCTTCGCCGCGGCTGCAATGGAGTACCATCGGGGACGTCGGAGCTTCGCCGCGGCTGCAATGAAGCGTCACTGGGATGCAATGGAGCAACCGGCGTCGACGGTGCTTCCATGGAGTTGCAGTGGAGCTTCGCCGAGGTTTCGTCGGTGCTGCGTTGAAGCTTTATTTGCAGTCCTTAGTGCTACCATGGTGCAGGCCCCCGGTGAGTCTCGGCGCTGCGATATAGCGCGTCGCCGGCAGCTCTTTTTGGAGCGATGATGCAGCATCTCCAGCTGCTCCAGGGCTGCGAGGTCGCCGGCGTAGGTGCCATCCGTTGGTTTTTGTTGCACCATGGCTGTGTTCAGAGGAGGCATGGTGTGGATTGACGATGGGCTGATGCACCTTCACTGCAGAGCGGGACGCGGTGTGGATCGAAGGACTGCTGGGATCGAACATCACTAGGGCCAATCGGACGGTTGACTAGGCGGATGAAATTATTCGGTTGATTCGTAGCAACCGTCAATTCGTTTAGAGCTTTTTGGTTTGTAGGAATGAAATCCTATTTTTATGGAAGAATTCTTTCTGTCCTTCACATTTCATAGGAAAATACATTAGCCTAGACTCAATGAAAAAAATCTTATGATGTGAATCAAAGGGCATCTCCTTTCCTATTCTTATTCATAAGATTTGAGATACATGTCATCTCATTTCCTATGACTTTTCTATTTCTATAATTTTCCTACCCTATAAACTAAAGGAGGGCTCAAACTTGATTCCAACATTAATTTCTAGTACGAGTTCAATTATAATATGCAGTACGGTTTCAACGACATAATAAATACTAATCTCTATATTAATTTGAAGTTTTGAAAATGTCCGAGCAGAATATCAAATAGACTTTGCACCAAAGACTAACATCTAAAGTCGAAGACCCCAGCCAAGCCACATTGCCGGGTCTAGGGTACAGACCGGTCCGGCGCACTCTCAGAGGCATCCGCCGCCGTCTTTCATCGATCCATGTATTGACGCATCGCCCTTGTCAGACCTGTCGTCGACGCCATCATGATGCCAGACAGCGCCGTCCTCCTGCGCGAGTCCGTCCACCCGCATCGGATCCGAGACTCCATTGTGCTACGCCGCTGAGATCCATTGTCGTCGATGTGGAGGATGAAACACCGCTACACCTCTAGGAGCACTTGCTCCATAACGATGAGGATGCCCACAGGAGGGGAAACATTTGATGCCGTCATCGTCCGATCCGGGAAGATCCAGATCTAGGGTTTCCCCCGGAGCATCTCGAACGTGGTGCCGCAACCTGCAACAACGATGCCTCGAGAAGGAAACGATGTCACAGACGCCGACATCGTCTGCCATGATCGTAGTCGGCGTGATTTTCACAGGAAGTTGCATCACCCCACTCTTGTAGCTGACTGGATCCGATCGTAGCCTCGTCGTGAAGATGAAGGCCGCCACCGAAACGCCGGCAGAGAGCCTCCAGCCGCCTCTCACCGGTCCCTCCACGCGCCGCCGGTTGGACAAAACCATGTCGAGGCGGACCTGGACAGGACTCCAGATCCGTGTCTTCTGCTGCCACCCATCTCGAGGCACATACTCCACCAGGGTGAAGAGCACCATGCCGACCATGGATCAGGCCACCGCCGCACAGGCAAGGGGCGCCGCCCTACCTGCTGCTCACGAATCCAACACCAGGGACGCCCCTGCCGACTCCGGGAGATCAAGCAGCACACCACCCGCCCTAGCGCTTTGGGGTCAGGCCCGCTGCCACCGCGGACTTGGCCGGCGGTATCGGCGGCAGGAGAGGAGACGAGAGGGGGCTGGTGGCGCTAGGGTTTGGGTCCCCTGGCTGTCGCCCAAGGAGGCGTCGCGAGGGGGGTGAGGGGGTGAGGCGACGCGAGGGATCATAAATTCAAGGCGAACGAAGAGAGTAGATGGCAGAGTCGATGGAACGAAGGGAACGACCAAAGGTCAGACCGCTAGTGGCACTACTGGCAGGACTGGACACGGGAGGAAGAAAACGGGCTCAAACTTCCCTCCCGTGCGACCGGCTGGATTGATTTGGAGCGTGCTGCATACCAGCGTCTCACAACCTTCAAATTTAGGGTCTCGCAGACTCATTTTGGAGCAGCCTAAAAAAATTATATGCATTTAAGAGGCCAACATGGCGGCTTTGCTAGACCTTACGAGGCCTGATCGCCAAACCGGGGTTTATTATGGTGACTTAAGATGACTCTGCTAGAGCTGCTGTGCCAATTCATGGAAGAGTGGCATATGCATCTTTCCATTTTTTTTCTTCTTTCAGATGTTTTTCTTCTTTTTTTTTTCTATAATGCATTGCTGACCCTATTTAGTACTGTACGATATAACATGTTAGGAAAGCAACCGCATCTGCCTGTCGAAGTTGCTGTGTGGAAGTTGCTATGTGCAATGATTAATGTCTTGGCATTCGCCCACATGGTAAGCAGATAGATGCTTTTCTTGAGGTTCTCATCCCATTGCTTGCAACAAAGTGATTGGGGCTTTCTGCGGCAGTGATGATGACCGGGGACATTCCCTTGTTTTGGATCAAAGTGGTGGCCACGACCTAGCCTGTAGATGAATCGACTCTTGTAAAAAATTTGACGGAAATCCTTGTAAAAATTCTATGAAAATCCTGCGCTTGGTAGGAGCATAAAATGTTTTAGTTTTTTTTATAGGGGAATAAAAAGTTTTAGTTGGCGGTATCACTTGGTTCGTTGTTTTTGGAAGAAAAAAAAAGAGCATGGCGCGGCCGTACATTGCACACTTGAGGTTGCCCCGTGCATCACGCACTTGGTAGGACTTGTAAATTTGTAAATTTTCTTTTCAACGATTTTTTTTCTTTTTTTTTGCGAGAACACTTGTATTACTCAAATATCAATGTCTTTACAAACATCTAGGGATATACCCACGACCTCATCTGGCCCAGATCCCAGCCAGGTCATAGTTCGCTCCTCAATTCTAGCAAACCTAGCCAAACTATCACTAGCTTTATTCTGGACTCTCGTAATACGAGTAATACAAGTTTGTCTAAGACGCATCAGCAGTCTTATTTCATTTACCAAAGCAGCATAAATTGAACGATCAACTTTGCCAGAGGATACCATAGACACTGCCAAGCTAGAATCCGATTCGATAACAATAGGCAAATCAGAGCGTTGTATAGCCAGCGATAAACCTTCCATGATTGCACCTAATTCCGCTTCAACCACATCTCTAAAAAAAATAGCGATCTGCATGCCGAAAAAATAATCCCTCCACTGGAGTTTCGGAGAATCATACCAGTACCCGCATGATCACTGTCAACAAAGGACCCGTCCGTGTTTAGTTTAACCTAGCCCTCGTCGGGGGGTTGCCACTTACACACTCGGCCTACACTCTGAATCTCCCTCACTTCTCTAGTGTGATCAAAAGACAAGTATCCCTTGCCTTTAGCTACATCCATACCATGGTTCATTTTGATCCCCACT